TTCAATAGTCGCTTGTCTTTTAGTTTCAACTCACAGGTGAACGCAGAGCGTCATTCCTGCACTGTCAACAGGCCCATGTCCAAGCAAGCAGCCCATTCCAGTTCATCGGCTTCCATTTGGAGCCCTCGATCCTCCTTCAGACTGGCATGCCTAAATGTTCGCACATTGCTTCAGATCGGTCAACAGGCAGCACTTGCCAGAACATTAGAGACCCTCTCCATCGATATCTGCTGCTTATCGGAGACCCGCCTGCAAGACTCGAGCTCTGTACTCACTCTGCCATCCCCTTCAGGTGACACTAGCAGCACTTTCTCATTGCGCCTATCCGGTGACGATGCAGCTTCGAGCACCGGCCAAGCCGGTGTTGGTATTGCCCTGAGTCCCTGGGTTGAAGCTGCTCTGGTTGATTGGATTCCAATCAGTAGCCGGATGTGTGCGGTCAGATTGGCTGGCTCGTTCAAAACTTCCAAGTCGCGTGGGACTAACAGGTGTCTATTCGTTATCGCTGCCTATGCACCGACAAACTGTAGCGATGACTCGGTAAAAGACGACTTCTATCGCCAACTGAACGAACTCATTTGCCACAGAAGAAGCTTGGACACTGTAGTGCAGGCTGGGGATCTGAACGCTCAAGTTGGAAAATTATCACTGATGAGCTGCATCTGGGCGGCCAACATGGTATAGGCTCCCGTAATGATAACGGTGAGCGCTTACTTCATTTGTGTGAGGATGCTAGCTTATTTCTTGCGAGCACTAATTTCAGACACAGCACCCGCCGGAGGGTGACTTGGCGCCCACCAGCCTCGAACCAGCTATGGACGCAAATCGATCACATTGCTATCAGTTACCGCTGGAGAGGCTGCGTCCAGAACTGTCGCTCGATTTGGAGCACAGGTGTTGACACCGATCATGTACTTGTATGTGCTGACCTGCGGATGCGCTTTGGCGGACACCCGCGACGATGTTGTGAGCGCATTGACACCGGCAGACTGGTGAAGCCAGCTGTTCTGAACGCCTATCAAATTACGCTGTCATCCGAGTTGGATAAACGCTCACTGGTCTCATATGCAACAGGCCTTACTAGCAGCAGGCAAATCCTCATGTGGTGTGTCTAATCGCCAACATGAACATTGGGTCTCTTCACAGTCTCTGGAACTTATAGATGCTCTCCAGCATATTCCGGCTGGAAATGAACACAATGAAACTCGCAAAGAGCTCCGGGCGAAACTCCGTGCTAGCCTGAAGAGAGACCGCGAATCCTGGTGGTATCGTCGTGCAACAGAGATGGAAATGGCCGCTGCCCTTGGTAACCATCGTGAGTTATTCCGTCTTATACGGGAAACGGGCAGCAGGAGACCTGGTGTTAGTGATATTATACGTGACGAGAGTGGACAGCCTATCCACAACTTATCAAAACGCCTGGAACATTGCGCTGAGCACTTTGAAAGGCAATTTAATCGGTCGAAATTGTTAGATTTCTCGCCGACCAGTGATCGCCCTGCTCCGTGGGCTGTTCCTTTGGATCCACCCTCTCGGTCAGAAGTCGAACGTGAGACCAGACTGTTGGAGTTAAATAAAGCCGCGGGACCCGATGACCTTCCTCCAGCACTCTTCAAATTCGGCGGACCTGCTCTTGTGGATGATTTACACGAGTTACTAGTCAAACTGTGGGAGCAGGAAACTGTCCCAACCGATTGGAGCCGCTCCATCATAGTCCCAATTTTCAAAGGAGGCTCACGATCGGAATGCGGCAGCCATACAGGAATCAGTCTGATCTCCATCGCCTCAAATTTGCTTGCCTCTCTCATCCTTCACAGACTGACGCACTCGTGAGAGCCAGATTCGCGAAGAGCAAGCTGGATTTCGTCGAGGTCGTGGCTGCATTGACCACATCTTCACTTTGCGTCAGTTGTTGGAGCACCGTCACATATATTGGCGGCCAACCGTTGTCGTGTTCCTCGATATCAAATGTGCATTCGATTCGGTGGATAGACATGCACTTTGGGACTGTTTACTCAGGAAAGGTGTACCTGAGAAATATGTGAATATTATCCGAGCATTATATGCTCGTAGCTCGGGCAGAGTGAGGGCTTACGGCAAGTTGTCGTCGCCCTTTAATATCTCCAGCGGTGTGAGACAAGGATGCCCGCTGTCACCTTTCCTCTTCAACTTCGCTATTGACGAAGTCATGGGAATCGCGTTCACAGGACACGACTTAGAAGGTGTTGAGCTACTCCCAGGAGAACGACTTCTTGATTTAGAGTATGCTGATGATATTGCCCTGATCTGTGACAGCTCACAAACGTGCCAAGCGGCACTGGACAGATTAGCACTAGCTGTCCATCACTTCGGGCTTTGCTTCGCACCCTCGAAGAGCAAACCGTTCCTCCAAGGTTGGTCTGGACCGCCTCCTAGGCTGACCCTTGATGGGGATCAGCTAGAAGTCGTTCAAAGATTCAACTACCTGAGAAGTTGTATCAGCGCCCGTGGGATTGAGGGTGAGATCACGAACGGTATAGTAAAAGCTCGGGGCGCTTTTGCTAACCTTCGCCACTTATGACACCGGCGCGACATCACTCTCGCCCTGAGGGGTAGAGTGTACATTGCAGTGGTACGTTCGACCCTACTGTACGGTTGCGAAACCTGGCCCCTAAGATCAGCAGATATGAAGAAGCTGGTTACGTTCGGCCACCGGTGCCTTCGCAGTTTGGCTCACATCTGGTAGGAACACTGCATGAGCAACGAGCGTGTTCGACGCCTTGTTTATGGCATAGGATAAGGAAATGAACCGCCCAGCACCGTTATTTCACGCACCAGGCCCCGATGGCTAGGCCACTTGTTACGCATGCCAGCCCACGGACTCCCGCGACGTGCGTTGTTTGCGCGCCGCGGGTGTGGATGGAAGAAGAGGAGAGGTGGTCAAGAGATGACTTGGTCGAGAGGAATTAAGGCCCTCATTTCGAAGCCGGCCTCGGTTGGAGCGTCTCAGCTCCCTGGTTGGGGCCCGAAAGACGATGAACACGTTTGGCTGGACACACTTGCTGATATGGCAAGGAGCCGACATCAGTGGCATTCGTGCTATGAGTTTCTTTGTCCCACTCCATCCTTCTTAGCCTCCCCCTCCAACCACGATCTCATTATTTAGCCTTATATAACTTTGCATAATAATTTTTTTGGGTGCACAGCAACCGGCTGGTAGCTTACCGGAACGATGCCCATCCGTTACTGGTAGCTCAACCAGCTTGCATTTTTTCTCCTTTTTTCTATGTATTGCGGCACAGTAGCTGAGGTGTTCCCTAGCTCTAGCTAACGTGTATGATGATGATTACTTGACGATTCAATTACAAATGCGATCGGATTAGCCACACAGTCCGTGTCTCGCACTATCGACACATAAATTATTTCTTTATTTTCGTTTGTTAGCTATAAAGCTACTTTTTTACACACCTACTGTAAGGTTATATATCAATTTTTCCGTCCCATAAGAAACAGTACAGAATCAGAGAACAAATTTCACTACTCAGCGCTATCAATCCGTGTAATTTTCGAACGCAAGCAAATGTTGGTGAAACTGAAAATTATTTTCAGAACTGTCTAGCATATGGATACTTCGAGTAGTCATCCATTTGCGACACTTCCACTGAGCAATTTGGTCGATCGGTCTTTCTTGCGCACATATTTTATAATCTTTATTGCACAGTTGACCACGACTGGGTCGATCTCCTGAGTTGAGGGATTTAAGCTCCCAACGCTAATAATTATATCTATGCAAAGCGCATTGCCATTGGTCCCCTGCGCGATAAAAAAGTGCTTTACTAAAATACCAGCTGATGGTACGGGCTAGGTGTCTTGACTGTCCACACTACATAGACAGAAAAATAGCTCTAAAGATGAGTTACATAAGTGATAGCTTACCTGCTTTAAAAGCCACACCGGCACACGGCCAGATGGAACATGAAAGCGCGGGTGAAATCCATCAAGAGAATAACCCGCATGGAAACAGGTCGCTAAGAGGCGGTCCCAGTAATAGCCGTATTACTTCACTTATACGATTTATTTATCTACACTTATTATCTTTTGAAATCTCAAAATCCTCCCGAAAGATTTAACTAACCAATTAGCCATGTCCGCCAAAAGCTTGAGGACTGCTTTGGAAAATTCGAAAAATATGACATCTGCTTCCTGCGATTCTGCCGTACAGCAAAAATCGTAACATCAAGTTGGATTGTACATCGCACCGATGAGGAATATATCGTTGTATTTTATTCGTCACAACCATATATTGTACAAGCAAGAGCATGGCACAACCTGTATATATTTGATCTGTGCCAAATATGGACGCAGCTTCTCACTCAAAACGAAATATATCCATTACCATTAGAGTAAGAATGTCAACGAAAATTTCCCTCCATACAATCTTGTCAGACCTGTCATTTCTGATCCCACATAATTCACTTGCAAACCAGACTCGATGATGCATCACATCACTTGAATTACGTCATATGGCACCGTCCATCGAGTGACGAAAAAAAAGCGCAAACTGTGCTCACCAAAGCAGAGCAGGCAGGTTTACATGCGTGTTAACGTGGATATTATGATGAGCCTACAGATACGCAATTTACCCAGTTGGCAATCTCTGACTTTGAACTTATGGATTTCACAAAGGAACTTTTCAAACCGTAGCCATCATGCCCGTGTGATAACAATGTTCCGGTTGTCAATAAACGTCTGATGGTGTACGTGAACGAGTTCCCCTAACCACAGCAGTGTTGCGAGTTAAGGCAACTGAAGACGTTGCGCATAGCGCGACAAATTGAAATTGCGCTTCACTGATATGCAACTGTAAGCGGTTTCGTAGAGGGAAAACGGGCTCAATAACAGAGCACCTCCCACACACACACACCTATGAAGAAGCAAAGACTGGTACCCAAAACGCATAAATCGCAGGTCAGTCATGGCTGAACTCCAACAACGTAATGGTTGGACAAAGAAGGCGGAAACCGAGTGACTACGTGTGTATATCTATTCATGGTTACCGGATGGAAACTAGAAATCGATACAAACGTACAGAATGAAGATGTGTGTGTGTGTACAAATGAGTGTAAAATAGCCAGTGAATGTGTAAAAATACAGGAATCAAGCCGACTTTCGCGGAAAATAGCATTACAGGTGCCTTGTGAAGTCAGTCATAGCCAGCTGCGAACGCATGATGCGATATGTCATATTGGGCGGCTGCGGAGGGAGATAATTCCGTGGAACGGCACCGATAGAACGCGAACCGAAACCGGAGTTTCGGTGTGGTAGGGGCGGTAGCGCTGATGACCGAGAATCTGTCTGGTCTTTTGGGACATAGTATGAAATACGTGAGAGAGCTGGGGAAGAGTCCGAAGAGTAGGGGACAAGATAGGAGGATTCTCTTTTCTGCTGCCAATATGAAGGATTCGGTCTGTCGTTGCTATTCGGTGCAGGACGTGATGAATGGGCTGGAGAAGCTTTGGGATGGGGGGCTGGAGGTTCATTTACACCCAGAAGGTCTGCGATCACTGACAGCTTTCGACCACTCTGTGTGCCAACTGGACCAGAAAATCTGGAGCGTCCCCGCCGGAAAACTTGTTTCGTGGAATCACCTTTACGAGCATCGTCGGCAGGACGAGAAGGTGTAGAAACTTTGTTGCGCTCTTGCGAACGCCGTGAATAGAGCGCGTACGCATCAAATATGGCTTCCGACGACTCAGTAGTAGTGGTGGCCTTCATGTAAGAGGCGACATTCATAGCTGGTGTTTGATCTTCCTCTTCCTTTTTGGGCTCCGAAGGTGGATCGGCAACACCAGCACCATCATCTGATGAGTTATCCACCACCAAACGGGGTACCTTAGCGCTGATCTGGGGAGATGATGTCTTGGGACTGAGATGTGAGCTGTCCTTCTTCGGAGGTGCTGTTGTGGTGGTAATCGGCACAATAATAGAGGGTCGATGTGGCAACGGGTCACCGAGGAGCCCAACACCGGGATTCCGTGGGTGCACATCCGGCATATCCAGAAGGCCAGGAGCGAAAAGTCCAGCGCCAAATACATTGCTCTTTGGGAGTGAAGGGAGAAGCGGGGCGTTGTTTAACACCGGTAGTGGACCAGACGGATTGGGGTTCAACAGCCCGCTCCTGGGATCCGCATTCACTTGGAAAGAAGGAACAGTAACCTTGGTCGGTTGTGGGTGTTCGCCGCGAGAGGTCGATACAGGAAGAATGGTACCTAAGAGTAGACAAGATAGAATCTTATTGACCTTCCTAGAAAAGTCGCGGACGAAATAAACGATAGGAACATGAGATAAAGCAAGGAAAAAGTACCAGCAATATCACGCTGAGAGGTAATTTCAGATGACTGTACGCAGGTGATTCCCAAAACACAGGCAGTCGTATGGGTTCAAACATGGGACACAGAGACAAAAATGCAGGCTCCTAAACCACACCACGTCAAAAAATTCCAAAAATCTCAAACATAACAATGTATGAAAGTAACAAGAAAAGAAGGCCAACCGCATTCCATTCGAGCAGGTTTAGTGAGCAAGGTGAGGACGGTGAAACAATCGAATAGTAAAAAAGGACAAAAGAATGATTTTGATTGTGACAAAAAGTGAATGAAACTCACAGAAGGAAAAGTTAGGCGCTACTTACAGTCGTCCTTGCATACGTGATACCTACATCGTTGCCTAACCGGCACAGTTCACCATGATAGTGGTTGATGAGCGGAATCATGAAGATCACAACTTGGGGATACATTGGGCGCAGTTGACGAAGAAGTAGACAATAAACGCATGCTGTATAAGAATGTGCATCGTTCCGTGTGATCAGAAAAAAGGCACGGTTCATGGAGAAAGAAAACGAAGCGAATAGGGAAGTGGCTGATGGGAAATGATGTGTACTTTTAGGCCGAAGTGGGTGATCGTCAGTTGTACGCCGTGACAGCGTTTCGCTGCCGCGCGACCACCACCAGTCGCGCGTGGGCTGAGTATAATGTGAGGATGCCCGCCCCTACGCGGATTCGAACCGGTAACCGTATGATTGCAAGCCAGACGTGCAGACCCCTCGGCTACCGGCCGAGGGCACACCTCATTGTCAAGGTACAATCTGATTGATTGGTGTAAGGAATATGAGGCATGAGAGAACATAAGATATTCGACTAAACACGATCCGAACAATTGGCATAGCAACGCAAAGAAGTAGACCACGTAGTTAGATAAACTGTGGTTATGATGGAGTAAAAGCTTACAAACCCGAGAGCCAGTTACCGTATGAAAGTTTCAATCTAACACTGAAATCCCAATATGGCTACATAAGACGGGAATAGGTATTCATTATCTTATCACTGAGTGCTCGGGAAAGCGCAGAATAGTTACGGACCGTATCAACCACCGAGTCCATCCCGAATAACCCGGTGCGTTTGCGATATGTAGGTGGAAACATGACTAAACTAAAGAAAAGTATGTCAACTGACCGCCAATCTGTGTGAGCAAGCAGGTAACCGCGGTGATGCCTCTGCGTAGCAGAAGAGGCACGGTGATTGTTTTAAGGTACCCGCTATATCCATTATAATAACTAGCGGAAATTTTAGTTGAGTTGCTGAGACCGGGTGAAAGAAACGAAAAGTAAGAATGAGAATCGTGTGAGTTACAAAGACGTTTGAAAAAACGGCAGCAAGAAGTCGAGTAAACCGAGAGAAAAGAAGGAATTGTTCAAAAATTCATCTTCACAGAGGTGGTGTAAAGCAAATTGGTACGGGTAGTCATGGACAATGTAACGAGACGATCCGGATGAAGTTGCCTAATTGAAGAATCCTGTACGCTAGTGGAAGAGGTTTTAGTAGCGTAACTTGTAATGATGGATCACACATAGAGGGAGGCTAATCGTTATACAGGAACTAGAGAACGACTCAATAACGACAGCCAATCTTGGGTCAAACTAAACGTTGGTTTACAAGGGTGGTGAAGAAAAACACGTCTGATCTGCTTTCGAGAAACACAGTGTGAAATTTAGGAAGGTTTGTGGTGTCGACACGTAGTGAAAGAATACTAAAAAGGCGTTACTCAATAGCAGTGGGTTCGGTGTTATAAGACGTGCTCATTTTCGTGTGCTGTTCGAGTTCCGAAGAGTGTACGTAATGACGACAGCAGCTTCAATAACTAAAGGTGAGTGACCGTCAGAATGGTTCAATCTGGCTGATGGAGTGAACAAAGGGAAAAAAGAAGAACCCGTGGTCCTGAACAGCCAGTCTCGTGCAAACAGAGACCATATTCTGCTAACGTGAAATAAAAAGGAGCTTTGCAATTTATCACGAAGCATCTTGAACGCCGAATCAAGTGCACGGAATAGCAATGAAAAGAGCTGAACTGAGGTAACTGGACAGATAGTGATTAGTCGCTACAGAAAACAAACGTACTGGGTTGCAGCACAATGACAGGTTTTGGTACTGAGCTAACTGGTGTTGAAGCAGGACCCAGTAGACCAACTTTAACCGCGGGCGCAGTGGGTTCTGTGGGTTCATCGGCTTTCGGTGATGGAGAAGATGGGGGAGAATTTAATTTCGGGGCAAAACATTCAGGTAATTGCCCAGCATCTCTCAATGCGCCTAGAGCAGACAGAATAATTTCCACAGCACCACTAGACACAGCGAGTTTCTTGCGACTGGGATCCATGGGACCCAAGAGACCAAGACATGCTGGGTCGATGATAGGTGAGGACGATGTGCGCTCATCAATATCCTCTTCCAACGGCGTGGGTGAAGGTTGGGGTTCAGGGGAACGGCTTGACGGGACAGCGTTTTCCTCATACTCCCTAGAAGGGATGAGAAAAAAGTGAGTTGCTGGGTGCATGGTAAATTTGAAACGCACAACGGGCCGCAAACTAGGGGGGCACCTGTAACCAGCGAATGAGTTCCATACATAAAGATGAACGGACAAGCTATGGAAGCAATAAAAGGAGATACCAAAACAATGGGAGGAACTGGCTTCTAGAGTGGCGCAACGCGGTGTTAAGTGTGGGACGCATACAAATGGCATACAAGGCGTTCCATATTAATTGACCACAACAGCAAAGCACGCGGACTCAAGACCTAGAGAGAAACCATCCATGATGCCCCTAGAAAAGGTATTCATTATGTTACCATTTGAAGATAGCCATGCTGACAGATGTCGGTATCGTCTCCGCCAATCTATTAATAAATGTTATTGTACAACCGAATTAGCGGTATGGTACCAAACAAGGTGGTTGATATACAAATGCAACTTGGACAGAGCAAACTCCCAAGTTACCACGTAGTGTGTCTACCTGTTTCCGTGTACTTGCGGTAGCAAGTACGTTGGCCGAACAAAGGAAAAAGGATCTGCAAGCATGGCAAAGCACATCCCATCTCATATGGTGGTAAACGGGCATGAACTGTTTATTAGTTCGATTGCTTTGCGTAGCAAAACCCACAGGCATCATTCAGAGTAATTAAGAGACAAAGAGATCTCCGCCTGCTTCAGTTCGCCGAAGCCTTCGCGATTCGGCAGCTGAAAATGGTTGGCGGCATCCAATTTAGGATTTGCCTGTCACTGTGGCCAGCCACAGGACGCCTGCGCCTACAGAGTGACCATGGGTGGCTTGCGCTGCACCACCCACAGCTCCATCCACACACCCCATATCCAGTGTAAACCCGAAGGAATAAGACCGGGAGGCATGTGGATGGGAGCCACGTTTCATCAACGGAGCCGGCCCACACTCCTTCACAGGCAAACATAAGCACGCTGAGTTTGGGGAATCAGGCGTACACAAGGCGGTGGCTGGACCGTAGTCCGCTCCACACTGAGTTCATGGAACCAATCTTCGATCCTAACACGGCCACAGGAACCGTGCACCCCGTCACCTCCAGCAATGACCAACGGTCTCCTGGAGCGAGTATGAACGAGATAGTGGGTAACAGACAGGTAGACACCTTGTGAACATGCACATCAAGCGCAGCCACACCGGGGATATCAGGCAACAGCCAATCACTTGAAAAGACAGGATAAATTATATAAATCCAATGATGCATAGAGATGCAATGACATAACTCTTCGCCAAATAAGCATATGAAGTACGTTGGTTAGCAACGAATCCGCGATAACTAAGAAATATCCACAAGTTACTCAATAATGCTACAAACGCAACAAAGTTACTGAAGATAACCGCAGTTAGCGTAAGCAATGTGGCCAGTTAATAGATTACTCAAGTAGGCAGAACAAACCAAAGAAAGTGGAATGAAATGTATCCAGCTTAAAAAGACCTAGTTTAAGTGTAAGTTGGTTTAGCCCAACTGCGGCGAAGAAGCATTAAGAATGCAACATCAGCCTCAGCATGGGGCACACATACATACGTGGTTGGCAGTATCCGGTTTCGGATTTACCTCTCACAGTGGTCAGCCACAGGACGGCTGCGCCCAAAGAGGGACTATGGATATCTTGCGCTGCACCACACACAACTCCAACCACACACAACATATCCAGTGTAAACCCGAAGGAATAAGACCGGGAGGCATGTGTGTGGCGGCTGAAAATAATTTAATGCAAACAGACCATTATTTGGTAGAAAGATAATTGCATGACCAAGGAACAGCCTGTATGATAAGAGTGAAAGGCGTAATCCAGTTAGATACTGTTCGGGTGCAACCCGAGAGAAGAGACGACCGATGATCAAAGAAACGAAAAAGTCTACACGTTACTGCCGACAGCGATACATCGATAGTTGTAATCATTCCCGTTGCTACGCAACCGTAATGAGAAGTAGTGGAGAAGATGGGTCAAATGTGAAACTTGAATGCTACAATCGATTCGGCATCTTGACGGTACTATAGCGAAGGTGATATTTTTATTGAGGGTGGCAACAACATTGCTAGTGATGCCGACGTTCTATGTGCTTAGATTCCCTCGCCCTAATGCATGGGGACACATCAGGTTGCGTGGGACCTGCAGCCCGTCTTCCAACTCTGATTTCTTCCTAGGCTTTGGTACCCTAACAACACCCCAGTCCACGTAGTCCCCAGTCTGTGGCTGCATGGTATTGAGCCACCAATGAAAGGTATTGGCGTACTGTGTATAGTAGGCAGTAAAAGCACAGTGCAACGACACACACAGTCCACGGGTGTGATTGGGGGCAACTCCAGAATAATATCTAGTCAATAGCCGAAGCCGTCGGTCAGAGACAATGCGTAGTGCTCGTACTCTACGCCAATCGAGATGTGAGCTTAGAAGTCGTAGACCTGTTGTCTCGTATGGCTAGGTTTTACGGGAAGAGGGCCATCGACCACTTCCTAACCTCCGAAGAGGATGGGCTAGGATACTGCCAGGGCGCCCACACCTGACAGGAGAACGACTCTGGTCCTCAGCCAAAGTTTTCGATTGAACGTACATCCGAAAGGCAGCGGGTCTAGCACATGGTCATTTCACTGACCCATATATATATATATATATATATATATACACCATGAAACCATGCAGAAATGATCGCTCTATCTTATGGGGCCGTATAGCGTTTGTCGGTAAATATGTGAAGCTAGTTATTTATTTATCGCACCAGAGCATCGTGCGGTAAGAAGACAGTCGGCGAATCATATATATCAAAGCATTTGACCTCGTTCTGAAACAGTGCGTGCTTGCTCTCTCACAGTAATCGGAGCACGTACGTTCGACGCTAGACAAGGTGAGATAGTGTTATTTCGTGAGTCTGAATAATCCATCAGCGGTGCATAAAATTTACAGAGGTCGCTTGCCGCTGTGGCCGACTGACAAGCACAATCAATGGCTAGATTAGATGGTGTGAGAATAATGTCATGCAGCAGCATCCGATGTATAAAATTCAGTAGTAAAGAGACAATATGGTGAACAAATCTATAAAACTAAGTAATAAATAGAGACTTACTCATTAGAGAAGAAGCGCGATGGCGTTGATATGGTAGCTGAATCAAGTGCTCGTCTCGACTCCTCCACGGCATCCAATCCACGTTGGACGCGAATGCGGCGTTCTTCAGCGGAAGCCATCAACGCCTGGGATTTTGCTGCAGCGGAAACTGAAGCGGCTACCTGGCGACGATTCTCCTCTTCTTCCTTTTGACGCTCACGAACCCGGCTCAAAACCCATTCGGCCTCACGAGCAAACTGATCGTCCACGGAACTGCTATGGGAGACAGCAACATCGTTGGAGGATTTGTCTGTTTGTTCGCTTTCCACAGTAGCCTTGCCCAAATTGAGGAAGCCATCTTTTCTGAGCGTTTCACTGGAATCGGAAAACAAATCGGTATAGGAGCACAAGGGTTGTGCACTGAAATCCGGAAACGTGATTGCACAAGCAAAGGGGTGGGTACGAAAAAGCAGAATTTTGTTTGTAGGACGAAGCTCTGGAAGGTGCTACTGACCCCGTGGCTATGCAATGTCCAAGATGAGTAGTAGGGGGATTTGTTGAATTTTTGTGTGCAGATTCCTCACAGCTAGACCCATTGAAAATATCCACTAAACGTGAAGTAAAGCGCATTTCTGGATGTATGGGGCTGTTTGCCTGAGTCTAGCAGCGACGAGTTTTCGAAAAAAAATTCAATGCGTTCAACTACTGGTATGGTCGATCTCAAAAATTTTATCCAGGAAGATAACAAGCGACAATCCGCTTCACCCTCTTGTGAGCTTCTTCACACTATTTTGCTATAACATTGAGTGATCGCCTCTGGACTTCATCTAGCAGAAAGCAGTATTGGGAAACAAGACATACCAAAGTAGCCGGTTCGCTTGTATGTTCGCTAGCACCAGCAGTTCATTAGACATACCAACTAGGCACTTGGACATCGATGTTCAGGATCGTAGAATTAAGAAGAACGCACACAAGCAGCAAATACGACGTGTAAGGTATGACGGTCCGTCGCCGCCGTCTCCTCAAGCCTTAGTGGCATAAGCTGCTGGCTAGGGGGCGCAGGCCGCAGGTGAGAGAGAGAGAGAGAAGTGGTACTGCTGACCAGTCCCGATAGGATGAAATGACAGTCGAATGCTTTTCCTGGTATGTGAAAGGTGTTGCGAAGAACTCTCAATAAATTAAAGCGAGTTCAGAAACGGAAGACGTGATAGCACGGAAGAAAAAACAAAGTGTGGAAAAAACCGACAGGTAGCAGCCAATTCCATCTGCTTCACCAGCTACGGTCCCAGTGATCGCAGTGACCAAGGTTCACTTCAATGTGAATCGCGGTCCATTACATTGGGGTTGCAAGTCGCAATCCAGTCACACAACGTGTACTGAAAAATGGCTCTTCAGTCAGTCACTAACCATTGTGCCAAGCGTTGCCCGTCGTGACCCAGTAGACAAAGGAGTAGGGGTTACGGCTAGTATACCAATGGTCCCGGGTTTGAGACCTGTCATCTTTACTTGATGACATCAAATCATATGGAAACGCGTCGTAGTGTGCAGTAATTTCAGGTGGACAACACCCAATTACCATCGGCTTCAGCAACGCTGCTGGTGACCGATCTGACCAAGGCTCACTTCAAAGCGAACCACGGTCCACATTGAGAATGCACGTCGCAGTCCAATCACGCCCTCCAATCAGATGATACAAAGGTCTGACAAAAATGCTGATAAGTAAAGGCAGTAAGGTTGCATTGTGTATACAAATCTCCAACCGCAGATGTGGGCCCCATTCATGAAAATAGTATAGACCAGTTTGGCGATCGATTTCATTGCTTTTCGCAATGTCATCGGAGAGTCAGATCGAATCTCTTACAACCAGGTAAAGTTTCAACAAACAAGGCATGCTAAGGCATCTGAAGATAAGTTCCACAATGCTATGAAGGCACAGGTGGGCAAAAGAGAGAAATCAGTATCTCAATGACTTGGGCAAACAGTTGCAGTCTTTGGTCAACAAAAAAGCAACAGTTAAATTGCCTTGTTGATGTGAGAAAGGTTATACGTCATCATCGTCAAAACATGTTGGTTGAGGGTGAGAAACACATCTCAGCTAAGGTGCCGCAATACAAAAAGTACGATACGAAGTTACATTAGAAAAAATTCAGAAGCAGATAATATAATGTTATATACAATATTAGACATTTTGTGTGAGATCGGGACTGGAGGGGAAACCTAAAGGGAGGGGTTAGACAAAGAAACTCACAACACAAAGGCCATTGGGGCCGACTCTTCGCCATATCAGCAAGTGTGTCCAACCAAACGTGTTCATCGTCCTCAGGACCCCAGCCAGGCAGTCGGGATGCACCAAGCGACGCCAACTTCGGAGTGTTTTCATTTTTCTTGACCAACTAATAGTTTGGCGTCCCTTCCTCCTCTTCGAACAGGTGCGCAAACGATGCACGTCGCGGGAATCCGTGTGCTGGCATGCGCAACACGTGGCCCAACCATCGGAGCCTGGTGAGTGATATAATGGTGTTGAGCGGTTCACTAGCTCTTCCCGTACCAAATACGCGACGTCGAACACGCTCACCGCTCACGCGGTGGACTCACCCAGGCATGAGCTAACGTGCGAAGGCAGCGATGGTCGAACGTGACTAGCCTCTTTATGTCTAGTGACCTGACGGCCAGGTCTCACAATCGTATAAGAAGGTTGAACGGACGGCTGCATTATAAACTGCCCTTCAAGTCGAGTGTGATGCGGCGTCTGCGCCACATGTGGCGGAGGTTGGCAAAAGCACCTCGAGTTTTTGCTATACGATTGGTAATCTCATCTTCGATCCCACGAGCGCTAATATAGCTGCCCAGGTACTTGAATTCCTGAATGACTTCTAGCTGATCACCACCAAGCGTCAGTGTAAGGGTGGGTCCCTGCCAATCTTGGAGAAGTACGTTGTATTTTGATGGAGCATAGCCCAAAACGAGAAAGGTTATACGAGCGGTTACGTTGTTCGTGGTTGCGACTAAGGTGTGATGTTTGACTTCGGTTAGTGATATGGAAGAAATGACAGTTCAGCCAGATCATGCGTGAGGGTCTGAAACAGTCCCCGGGGCTTACAGGGCTCAATGCGATCTATGTAAGAGTGGTCGCAAAGCAGCTGAAGCTGACCACAAGAGAGCTATACTATTCACTTTAGGACAGTCATCACCGACTGTATAGAACAAGGTACACTAAAGGTCAAAGTACCTGAAATTAGGCTTCGATCGAGAATACATGAGGGTGTGTAAATGCCGTCGTACTTGAAGTTTCCATTACATCAGCCTGAGCCCCTTGGACGTCGTACTAGTACTGAGGAGAACATAGCGGAAGGATAGTTGGTCAGAGGTTGGATCGTTAAACAACCTCGTCGGAGTACTAGTTGAGTGGTCAGTGAATGATTCGTTGAAAGCGTTCCACGTAGTAGTGGGTCCGCGCCTAGAGAGCGATTTGCTTAGAACAAAGCAACAGCGACTGTGAAAAACAGTGTGGAGTTGTACAAATGCTAATTCTTGGCTAGCAGCGGGAATGATGTGCGTCGGGCTCTGATAATCAGTGCGCTCAGGAACACACGAGTATGGGGTCAGCACAGTGGATAAAGAATGAAGCTGGGCATCGCAACTTAACAAATACTGTGTCCGTCTCGTTGAACGGAATGAAGTAGTTAGGGAACGATGTGTACATACAATTAGATGTCTAAGATATTGCCCTCTAGTTACCAATGGAGGGGTGGATCGGAGGGGATCGTGTTGTGATTAGCTCACTGCTGAGAAAAACAAAAATATCACTGATTTTTTCTACTTGGTTAGAACACAAGAGAGCGACAAAGAAGGCGAATCGAAATACTCAAGATTATGATGCGAAGTTGAATGCCATGATGAAACGAAAGACATATTTGGTGCAATTCTCCAAAAAATAAAGGAAGGAATAGTTAAGTGTAAAAAGGTTGAAGAATCGTCGATTACACGGCCCATGACCAGTTCTGATCAACTCTTTGTGATTTGGAGGACTATCTATCCTATGGATTGTTGCTCTCATATAGATGTGTACGATGGAGGATGACATAAAGCTCTAAAATGTAAACAGTGTGCACTCTTAGAAATGTAAGGGTGGAGTAGCGCGCCACTCTTCACCACGATAAACGTTTGATCACTTAGTTGTGATTTCCGCCTCACGATGGCAAAAAATCAACAGCACCGGGAAAACTTACATGAAAGTTTCACACTCGGTATCCGCCCGGAAGGTAGCCACTGGATGTGGTAGGAAGTCTTCCGGACAAACATCCTCCATCGTGGAGTCCGCTGACTCAGCACATTCGTGTATGTTACCGTTGAGAATGGGGCCGGTGGGGAACACGGAGGATTCGTTCTTCTCTCCAGATGTCGCATTCACCTGGTCGGTTTCGTCCTCATCGGATGAGTCTTCCGTTATTTCGCCTTCCTCCAAATCCTCGGATGGTGGTTTCCGATGTTCTGCAGGCTGTTTTGTCGAAACAGTGGACTGTTCTTTGACGGAAGCCGGTTTCACTGGCTTCTTCAAAGCGGCATTCTGCTGAACATTCGCTTTGGGGGCCTAAAACAAACACACAAGCATGAACAATACACAAGTGGGGATGTACGTACTACCTTCGTGGTCCATCGAGGCATCTGCAGTGGTGCATGGTCCGATTCATCCAGTGGACGCCAGATTCGGCGTAATGCGTCAAAGGCTGAAAAGCAAAGTAAGACGGACAAGTTACACGTACCAGAGAGCCGCTTCACTTTGACCCGTTTCCGTCCTTCAAAATCTTCGATTTTGCGAGCAAATAAGTCTATACGCTTCATACGCATGGATAAAGTACTTTGGTCACTGGCGACAATTGCGCACATGCCGGGGTAGTGAGCTTTCTGTGCGGGAGAAACATAATTAGCTGTTGAGCACCCCTCAAAAGACAACTAACCATGTAATTCGTGCGATGTGCCACATCACAAACGTGCTTGATGGCATCTTGTCGACAAAGACGCTCGCTGCACAATTCACAAAAGTATGCACACTCTTCTTCATCGCCAAACTGTCTCTCAACGATGTAGTTGAGCCCGATAAGTGGTTGGGTGCACACATCCAGCAGGGTCTGTAAGCGGGCGGTAGTTTTTGTGGGAACTGGTCGTTTGTCCTTGAGTTGTGATGCATCACCTTGGAAAGGAGAAAAAATCTATGAAGCCGAGTGTCGAAGATCGAGGTAAAACACAATATAATGTAGTTGAAGTAAGACAAACACGGCATCACAAGGCACAAAACTGTGGTCTGCACAGTTTTGAAATTCGGGCGCTCGTGTGAACGGGCACCACATTCCAACAATGGTAATAACATATCCAATCCCATAGGCGATGATATAAACGGAGGCTGTGGGTGGACCACACAATTGGAACCATGTTTCCCCAACGAATCACGACGGATGTGATAAAAGACCAAGCAGCGAGTAGGCCATGACGGTCAGTTAAACAGACATTCGCTTATATTGGTAATGTTTATGGCTCAGGGTGTGGATGAGGATGTTCGGTTGTTCGCTGAGTTCAGAGAGCAAGCTCGAAGAACAACCGAATGCCGACACCGGATATTCGCTTTAGCAGATTCGCTGCGATTTTTCGGCTTTGGCCACAGACATAACAACCACAGTCGATTATTATCACGGAGTCATTGAACAAACACAGTGGTGCCTGTACCCCAGTTTTCTATCCCTACGTCGATCATTCAAGATATCATGCTTGATACCCATACCGAATAACTTCATTCGTATCTACACAAGATCAACGCCAATATGTTAAGTAATCCCAGTTTATTTACGTGTGCCCTAGTGAGACAATCTATTTATGCAGCTTAGAATGAATCAAGGGAGACAGAATTTGAGTAAAGAATTCTTTTCGGTAATTCTCATCGGACTCAAACATTACATGATGAGGAAAATGCTAAATGTGCCGGATTGGGCTGCGTATTGAACACAATGTTTAATTTCACGAGTACAAATCAATAAATCACGGGGTCATTGTAGGTGGCAAGTATGTACAGGGGAAATCACATCCGATGTTGTAGGCCACGGTAGAAGGACGCCTATCTCATAGGATTCGCGAACACATCCCAAAATGGTTTTACAAAGGCGAAGCGAGGTCGAGTAACAGTTCCATCTTATCACACCTTCTAGAGTGCAGTCACGCAGGAACGGAAAATGATTTTAGAGTCATCTATACTGTTCCTGAACGTTTCACGCGCGGATTCCGGATGCATCTTCTGTCTATCGCGGAAGCTATCTACATCCGCCATCTCAAGCCAGAATTATGCGTACAAAAACAGTTTGTACGTCCTTTACTTCTACCGTGGCCTACAACTTCGGATGTGATTTCCCCTGTACATACTTTCCACTTCCAATGACCCCGTGATTTATTGATTCGTACCCGTGAAAGTAAACAATCTGTTCAATACGTAGCCCAATTTGGCACATATAGCACTTCTTCCTCATCATGTAATGTTTGAGTCCGATGAGACTTACCGAAAAGAATTCTTTACTCAAATTCTGCCTCCCTTGATTCATTCTAATAAATGGGAATTTTTGGATTGCTGAGAATCAGCATCCCCCGTGATTCAGTCAAGCTTATGCAGCTTATTTGGAGTGTCGTGTGGCATCCTCACGGCCAAGGTACTGAGGCCTTCCTATTTGTTGTCTGGATCCGCCGGCGTGTCAGTAACCCGCCCACTCGCCTAGTTTAGAATAGCGGATCAATGCATTGTACAATATGCCGTTTAGAATACAGTTTTGCCTTTCGTGTGCCTGACGTGTTTTGCTTTGTGCCACTTCGGCTAAGAGCCAGCCATTGAGCGTTAGTTCCGCAATTGCTAAACTGTGAAATTTGGCGACGAAGGTTAAACTTGGAATTAATTACTATGAGCCATCCTAACCCGCCTCATTCCTTTTGGAAGGACATGTCGTCCAAGCCATGCTTAGTAGTTTGGAGCCGTTGAAAACGAACCTTCTGTGACTAACTTGAGCTTTCCACAATTACACACCTCCAAATCAAATTTAGTGAAACCCAGTCTATCAAGCTACTTAGATAACACCGCGGTCAATGGCATTTTGAAGCGTTGCGTTTGTACGTAAGCACATTCCTGACGGACTGGTTTAACACCCTGAAAGGCCTTTGGGGGCCGCGGTAACATGTTTTTACTGATTGCCTAAGCTTTTCTCAATTACGACAGGGAGAAGAGGAGTGGTAATGAATTCATCAGTCGCATACAACAGTCCCTTCCTGAATGCAGTTACAATGGAATTCCCGCAACGAAATTCGAAGATATGATGGCGGCACAATGTCCTTTGGTTGGCATTCGAGACGATAAAGCAAGAGAACGTCTGCTGTCAGAAGGCGAGAGGAAACTCAGTTGAGAAACAGCCTGCACACTGGTTAGACAAAGGGAAAGAGTTATGTTACAATTAATTCATCATCGAAGCGATTCTCCTTCAGATGCCGCCGATGCAAGTAAATCTCGACTATCACCCACCAACAACTGTTCATTTACGTGCTACCAATGCGGCGATTGCAGACACAGTCTACTTGCCCCAATAACAGAAAGGTCGGACATATTACACGCGTATGCCGTTCGATTGTGGTCGCACGACCGATACGCCGCCCTGCCCAGGGTACTGTTCGAAATGTGGAAAACGCTGACGACCCCATATTCTATCTAATTTCGCACACAGCCACATGGCACGCAATGGGAATACACCAGTACACTGTTGACTTAAACATTGAAGGCGAGCCAGTACGTCCGAAAATCGATACCGGGGCCTTTGGTTATATTGATCAACAACAGAACTTTGCCCGATCTGGTACTTACTCCGACTCAATCAAAACCGCGATCGTATATTAAGGAAATACTCCACGTCTTAGACGTGCGTGACGTGTGTGTGTGTGACGTAAAAGTAAATCATGGGGACAATACGTTGACTTTCTCTAATCGTTGTTACCACAGGCGGATCGAACCTACTTGGGTGAAACTGGTTAGAGTACACGTCGGAGATACTACAATCTGTCAAGAAGGCGTACAGTATTTCTAACTTAACTCTTAAAAGCATTTTCCAGTGTTCTCGATAAAAAAATACCTGGGAAATTGCGTGATTTCAAAGCCTGCTTGAACACAAAGCCACAGACTCAACCGAAATCATAAAAAGTGCGAATTTAAAGTGATTACAAAAAGACGGAATAATTTCACCCGTACGCCACTCTTCCTGGGCTGCACTCATCGTTCCTGTACATAAGTCTGATGGCTCAGTTCGCATTTGCGGCAAATATAAAGTGACGGTCAATCAAGTGACGACGACGGATAGATGAACTGCACGCAACTTTGTCTGGTGGACAAAAGTTATCAAAACTTAATTTAAGCCATGCCTATTCTCAAGCAAAGCTACAGGAATCTCCAAAAGAAATTGGCTGGCGGCATCCGGTTTCGGCTTTGCTTGTCAATGTGGCCAGCCACAGGACGCCTACGCCTACAGAGGGACCATGGGTGGCTTGCGCTGCACCACCCACACACCCCATATCCAGTGTAAACCCGAAGTAATAAGACCGGGAGGCCTGTGGATGGAAGCCACATTTTATCAACGGAGCCGGCCCACACTTCTTCACAGGCAAACACAAGCACGCTGTATTTGGGGAATCAAGCACACAGAAGGCGGTGGCTGGACTGTAGTCCGTTCCACAATGAGTGCATGGAACCACTCTTCGAACCTAGCACGGCAACAAAGACCGTGCACCACGTCCTCTCCAGCAACGACCAACTGTCCCCTAGAGCCAGTATTATGGACGAGGTAGTGGGTAATAAACAGGTAGACACCTTGTCAACATGCACATCAAGCGCAGCCACACCTGGGATGTCAAACAACAGTCAATCACTTGAAATAACAGTAAAAAAAATAAAATATATCTGTTAATGAATACGGCTATGCAGACATAACTCTTCCCTAAATTAGCATATGAAGTAAGTTGGTTAGCAACGAATCCGCGATAACCAAAATAGGTCCCAGAAGTGACTCGAAAAATGCTACAAACGCAATAAAGTTAACGAAGATAAGCACAATTATCATGAACAACGTGGAAAGTTAATAGGAGATTATTAAGCTAGGCAGAACAAATCAAAAAAATTAGAACGAAATTTATCCAGCTAAAAAGACCTAGTTTAAGTCTAAGTTGGTTTAGCCTAACTGCGGTGAAGAAGCATCAAGAATGCAACATCAGCCTCAGCATGGGACATAGCTCATGCATATATGGCTGGCGCCAAAGATTTCTCAGTATTATAGACAACTTAGTGAAAGGCACACCCGTTTGCGTTTACTTGGTGGACATTTCGGTTACTGGTCATACCAAGTACGACTATGACAGCACTTGCAACAGTCTTGAAACACCTTCAGGAGAGAGGACTGAAACTCAAGGAAGCTAAATATCTTCTGTGATACCGTTGAGTATCTGGGATTTCGTTTAGACACACAAAGGTTACATCCCCTACGGGGAAAAATCCAACCCATTCTGCGTTCTCAAACCCGCCGAAATATTAACGAACTACAATCATTTCTTGGGATGGCAACCCATTACAGTCGTTCTTTATCCAAGTTGGCTAGGCTTCGCGCACAATTGTATACTTTGCTTCGTAAGAATACCAGGTGGCTGTGGTCCAATGGACAACAAAAAGCTTACGATGCTGTCAGATTGGCTCTCAGTAACGCTAACTTGTTAGCGCATTTTGGCGCAGAAAAACGATTACTCTTCGTTGCGATACGTCACCCACAGGGCGCGGGACCGTACTATCACTCCAAATGGAAGACATGACCGAGCGACCAATAGCTTTTGCGTCGAGAAGTTTAGCCCCAGTGGAAAAGAACTACGCGCAGCTTGACAGGGAAGCTTTAGAGGTTATCTTCGAAGTCAAGATTTTCCACCAGTATTTGTAGGGAAGAAAACTAGAAATCTTTACTGACCACAAACCTCTGTTAACCCTGATTGGTGAGAAAAAAGGCATAAACCAGATGGGGTCACCTCATATGCGATGTTAGGCTTTATTGCTCTCCGCTTACAATTAGGAGATAGACTATGTCCCTGAGAAAGCAAAGAGAAACGAGGATGCTCTAAGCCGTTTAGCACTGAATCACCTAC